GTTCCATCCTTCCGCGGCGAGTCTCGAAATAGCATTGTCCAGTTAGTGCCCATTCGTTAAGCTCCATTTTTTGTTGGATTCATTCGAATGAACTCGAGAATTTTCGAAATGCATTTTTGTTATAATTCAAAATGCTACCTAGAGATGCTTATTGTGCAAGTTACTCTTCTTCTGATCGCAAAATTATCTTCACGTTTTCGATGCGAAATTTACGACCTAACTGAATATTATGTGGTCAATTTCTCACGTTAGGTGCTCATAATCAAACTTGTGAACGCCCATAAAAATGCTCATTTAAAACAGTGACATGTGATTATTTCTCGCTCATTTTCTCACTGCAACACTGAAATACATTTTTCTCATGTACCCTTCCCCTCGTATTTCTCGTAAATCGAACATGAGAGTCATTCAGCTGCCGTTTATCGCGCTAAATAAGACTCATCAAATCATTCTCATAGGATTGTGAACGAATGGAACGCAGTGAAATTTGTTGTGCCCGCTGAATTGCTGTCGATTTTCAGGGAGTGCTACATCGCCAATAATGTTATTATCAATTATTTCATTAATCTTGCTGAGGGCAAGTCAAACTGACGCAGCTGCAACGATCAAAATTACTGACGTATGTTTTTTGAAATATGTCTGATTATATGTTTGGTGATATCCATGAACATATCCAATTTTCCAAAATCATCTTCAACAATACTCATTTCAAGCATTAAGATTTCCAATTAGCGGCGCTTTATTATTGAGTGCAATGTTGGGAACGGTTTTATTATCATAAGTTTTATTACGACATGAAAACTTTTTGCTTCGAAATGATCCATTTTATAATAAACGACATTTGGTCACCGCCATGTTACAAGATATTAACAACGCTCGAAACAATTGTGCATGTTAGCTGCAAGCAGTTTTAGCCATACGGTTCACTATAAAATGGAAAGGAACCATCGATATCACGTGAAAGCAATTGTGTGATCAAAACACAAACTGCTCAATAGTCGAAAGATTCGAACGTTTTGTTCAATTGTCCCATCCAACTTTCAAAGTATTGTATAAAATTTGGATATGCTGATTTGCAACTCATTAAGGTGCAAATGTGTGTATGTGTGTTGAATTTGAGTTGCCTATAAGAATCAGATTCAAACGCTCCAAATCGCTTCGATTATTTTATGCACAATTTATCGCATGTTCATTGTCATTGAAGTTCTGTTTTTGTGCAGACGGATTGGCATTTTATCGCCGTCAAGTGCAGTAATCTCTCCCTCTTGTTTCGGTTTTAAAAATTGCAATTTCTGATTGCTTATTACTTATGAGTGCAATCGAATAATTTCGATGCACTCAGATTGTGAATAATGATGTGAACGAAACGGAGACATCGTTGTCGCCATCTGACTTTGTCGCTGCACCGTTTAAAGAGGTCGATTTATCGCTGATGGGATTCGCAACGAAACGCGATCCAACCATGGGCAACAAATCAGAAGGTGATATTGCTATTGAAAATATCACTGAATTCGTTGAAGCAAACAATCAGTTCGGTCGTAATGCAATTCGTGATGTATACAGGTTCGATTAATTCTGCTCAGTTCAGATCAATAGGATCGATAGAAAATATCGAATATTCAAATTTACTTTCGTAATCTCTCGCAACATTCCTTCATCAACCAATCGAATCTCTCAATAATCGATATTACAGTCGATGGCCGGACGGAGTGATACCATATACGCTAAGTTCGCGTTACGGATCGTATGCACGATCGGTGATAGCGAAGGCGATGCAAATATATCACGAGAAAACGTGCATTAAGTTCGTGCCTCGCGATCCATTGACTGATCGCGATTACTTATACCTACAGCCAGATGACGGCTGCTATTCACAAGTGGGTCGTATTCGTGGTAGGCAGATTGTCTCATTGGACGGAGGCTGCATGAAAACCGGAACCATCCTACATGAGCTTATGCACGCGATTGGATTCTTCCACGAGCATTCCAGGTTGTATTCATTCGTTTCATTGATTTTCTGGGTGGTTTTGTGCGATACGAATTCGTTTAATCCGTCCGAAGCAAAGCAGCTGCCTGCATTGTGCTTGTATTGTCTTCATTTCAATTCAGTGTAAGCAGAACGAACACTCCATAAGCTAAAATAACCCAGTGATATGCGCTTATTTGAGAGTACAAATGAGTATTTGTGGAAAATAAGGAGCAGTATGGAACAAACGAGATCAATTAGTTTCATTCGTATCAATTCAACGGAAGCAAATTGATAAATTTAATAATGTACAATTCTGAGTGAATCAAATCTCAGAGGAATCCACTCACTACACGAATAGCATCTGAATGCTGAGTGAAGACCGCATCAGTTCGCGTTCCATCGCTGCTCATCTCATCAACTAAATTTGCCCTTCACCACCCAATCATTCATGCTCGGTCTTCTGGGAAATCTTCTAACTGCAACTCTTCTTGGAATATTTCACTTGGCATATAAATCAACTCCCAACGCGTTGACATTTCGATGATTGAAGAGAAGATTAATGAAACAAGTCTCAGCTTTCGGATAAAATTTTTTTGGAAAATAAACCGCTTCATTCAGTTCTTCTTAAGGCTACAGGACGTATCAGGTTTTCTCAATAATTTGGGCTAAGGTTAGGTCGGGAACTTCCGAAACCCAGTGGCCCTAAGCACTTATGTGACCTGGTCCTACCTTCATGGGTCCATGAGCTCGATTTCGCCCGCGATCTAACTTTTCCTTGAACAACTCGCCGTACTTCCTTTTGATTGTCTTTTATGTGAACGACAAGCAGAAGATACCACCTAGTGGGACCACAATAGATCTCCGCAGTTTCTGTCCTGACCCATATTCCTCATGGCTCAATGTCCGACCCAATGCTAACAATAAGCTTTCCTCAGTTACGGTCCATTATTTACCATATCTTATGCTCAAATTTCTCAGGTTTTATTTTTTAATCTTTATAAAAATCGAACTCAGGGCCGATCGTGATAAGTATATTGATATAGTATGGCACAATGTGGAGGATGGTGCGGATGATCAATTTCTGAAGTACAGTCTTCGATTAATTGATCATTTGAATGAACCATACGATTACTCGTCCATCTTGCACTATGGACCAGATGCGTTCAGTAAAAATGGTCAGCGAACGATTGTCGCACGCAAGGTATGTTAAATCGTTAACAGATATCCAGATGGCATTAAAAGAACACTTGGTCGGGGAAGATGAAGAAATTCTGGAGTATTGACAGAAATGGCTTGAGTATGCTGGTCCAAATCTACGGTGAAGATTCTGAAACCTCTCCAAAGACGCACACATCCTTCTGTTATTTCACTCCGATCAATGAAGTTGTCCTAAACCTCTGCGGATAATTGCTATGTTTGAAGCGTTCCAACATCAATAACACTTTGATTCAAATTTTCGTTGAACTGTAAAATGTATCAGCTGAATGTGAGAATATGCTTCGATTAGGTTTTATATTTCCCACTTCCATTATTTTTGGGATAGTATGAAAAACTATCAATGTTTGCTGATTAAGAGTGTAAAGTATTAACCACTGATCACAACTGACTTTGCCGTTCAAAAGTTGATGTGATATGGCTCATTTAAATGGGTTATCTATCGCAATTATCCAATATGCTAGAGTCTCGAGTCTAATTTGGAGTTTTAATCAATTTAGTCGATTTTCTTGAATGATATTAAGATGATGGTTAGAATTCGAAGTGCAGTATCGGGTCTGATTGCACTTCCAGATCTGATGTTTCGTTGAAAGAGCGATAATTACAGGC